GTCTAGCGTGTAGTCAGTCCCACATCAAAGCGACCTACGCCTAAATAATATAAATAACACAAACCAAAAAATCTGTTAACGATGAAGCCCCGAAGCCCATAGTTCCGTGTTCACAGAAGCATTTCATGCTGTATTGCCATTGGAAACTGTTTATTCATAAGCCATTTGGCATCCCTTCCTGAATCACTTTGCTCTCCTCCAGCTCTTTTGCAGCGCTTCTACTTAAATTTTTAATGTTTTCACTATACACCTGCTTTTCGAACTCGTTTGCGCTCATATTCTCTTGAACTGCTATTCTAACTTCCAGTTTTGTCTTGCCATAAGTTTTTCATAGGACAACCGTTACATTGATATGCTCTGTATAACACATCACCTCCAATATTCAGTCATATGTCCTTGTCCAGTTTGTGTTTCGTTCTTCACCGTATTGCACATTTATCTTCTCTTTCGTACCTGTTTGGAATTTACGTTCTTACACTCTGTATTAGTACTTTCTGTTTCCACAGTCATTTTTACATTGTTTTACATTTGATCATGCACACTAGCATACTTCACGGGCATCGTGAAATATACAATTATTATTATTATTAACAACCCGTAAACACTGTCTGCTGGCAACCAACGGTACCTCTATCCAAACCTATGGATAGTGGCTACTGAACTTAGACCTGGGTTTAAGACTCCTCTTACATTGGGTTTTGTGGTCGCTGGGGTTCCTTACACAATAGTTGGCCTAAACCTCTTATAGCACCAAGGTCTAATCGTACATCACCGCAAGCGACAAATTAGAGGCCCAGTCATTTCGAGAGTATTCGTCGGTTCCATTGTATCTTCGTAAACGCAGAATATACACCTCCCTTTTTCACACGATGATTCACCATATTCATAGTTATTCCGCGCGTTCTCTAGCCTCGTCCACCCCAGCACCGAGCTGCCACCTATCGCGACGGAGGTCAAGTCAAGCCAAATCAGGTCACAGGACTTTACGCTTCGGCCAGTGGACGTCCAGGTTCTTGCACTTGTGATCTGGTGATTCCCACTGTGCTGCGACTGCCAGGTATCGCACCACATCGTCACTCGAAGTTCACCAATCCACGCACGTGCCCGTCGACTAGCACCAGATAAGGCACGCACCGCACGCACAGAGTTTCAGCACATGCTGAACATGGGCATCACACTCCCCTCTGAAAGTCCATGGGCGTCCCCTCTAAACATGGTCCCAAAAAAGTCGTCCAACGACTGGCGTCCATGTGGAGACCATCGAGCACCGCGTGACAACCCCGGATAGGTATCCGATCCCTTACATCCCGGATCTCACATCAAGCTTAGCCGGTAGTCCTCTTTTCAACCGCATCGATCTGGTTTGCGCATATAACCAGTTACCGACAGGAGCCGGCATCCCCAAAACAGTCGTAGTCACACCGTGTGGTCTATTCGAATTCCTCCGAATGCCATTCGGTTTAAGCAACACCGCACAGTTCCTTCAACTTTTTATTGACAACGTTCGTAGAGGTTTGGACTCGGTTTTTGTTTACTCAGACGATAGCATCACGGGAGAATCATCTGGCCCACCTCCGAGCACTTTTTGATCGTTTGGCACTGCAAGATGTCACGTTCAATGCACAGAAATGTGTTTTCTGTACCTCGACGTTGTTTTCCTCGGTCACCGCATCACAGCCACTGGTATCAAGCCACTGAGTGACAAATTTCAAACGGTTATAAACTACCCGGAGTCCATCACGTTTAAGCAGTTCCGACGTTTTGACGGTTTAGTTAACATTTATCGTCCTTTCACTCCTCAGTGTGCACAACTTATGCAGCCGCTCACTGATCTACTTAGGGGTAAAGCAAAAACGTTAGTATTCACACAAGCCGCTCGAAACGCCTTCAATGCGTTGAAACGAGCAATCAACAACGTCGCAACATTAACCCACCTAGACCCCTCCGCCAAACTAGCACGCTTCACCGATGCCTCCGACCACGCAGTTGGCGCCGTCCTCCAACAACAAATGAGACACGAATGGCAACTCATAGCCTTTGTATCCAAGAAGCTCCAACCGACCGAGTCAAGGTACAGCGCCTCTGGTCGAGAACGCCTGGCGATCGACCTCGGTATCCGCCACTTCCGCCATCTCTTTGAGGGACGAGGCTTCACGGTCTTCACCGACCACCGTCCTATCAATCACGCCAATAAGTCTACCACCGACAGATACTCTCCACGAGAGTCACGACACCTTGATTTCATTACACAATATACGTGCGATGTATGACATATCTCTGGTGTCAAAAACCGTGTTGCGGATGCCCTCTCACGCTTCCAACATCTGGGTAACTCTTACCAAGAAGCCATTGACCTACAGGCCATAGCCACAGTGCAAATCGGCGACACTGATATTGAGCGACTACGCGAGCAATTCACGTTACGCATCCAACATTCACCACTTCCGTCCTCAGACAACAAATTCTGTTGTGACGTCTCCCTAGGTCACCATAGGACAGAATTCCCATCAATCTTGCGCAAAAAGGTTTTTGAGACATTATAAATTTTCACTATCAGGCATCCGCGCCTCAGTGAAACTCATCACTGATCGTTTCATGTGGCACAACATCAAACGGGATATCCGCTAATGAGCACGCCAGTGCTTGTCCTGCCAAAGTAACGAAATTATTTCTTACACAAAGAGCCCACTAGGTTCATTTCCCGTCGTCGACGAACGTTTCAACCACGTTCACGTAGACTTAATGGAACCTCTGTCACCATCAAAAGAGTGTATCTATATGCTCACATGTAAAAAATTGTTTCAACCTGTGGCCGGTAGCTGTGCATTTGTCTTCCGCATCCAGCAAAGCAGCAGCACAAGCATTCGTAGAAGGTTGGACAGCCAGTAGTTACAACCGATCGAGGTTCTCATTTCGAGAGTGTTTTCGCACAAATACTTAAGCATCTAGGGATTCGCCTTCGCTTTCAAAGCTGATCTCCGNTGATCTCCGATCCACACCGGCAGCGTTGACTTTCAGTTGCACATTGCGCCTTCCAGGAGAAATGATGTCACTGACACCATCAAATAACTTCAACTACGGTAAATATGCAGCTCGTTTAGTAAATCGTTTGAGTCAGTTGGATATCTAACGATCTCGCCAGCGAACACCCCTAGCATACCTCCTCCCTCGATTAGACGAAAGCTCGCATGTTTTCCTCAGGGAAGAGGTTCACGAACCACTACGAACTCAATACAGTGGCCGACATAGGGTACTGCGACAATTAGACAAAGCCTGCGTAATAGAGCGTAACGGTAAACGTGAGACCGTCAGTATTTGCCGGCTCAAACCTGCGCACTTGGAGGAAACCGTCAATTCCACCAATGGTCCCCCTCCGTTTGCATCACTGGCAACTCCCATCCCAACGAGTCCCCGTCCCTCCACCATGGTAAACCCCGCGATACCCTTGGAGCAGCACCTGATCCCGACCAACCCCGTCGGATCACTTGTCGCGAGAGGTTCCTTCGATAACGTGTACGTTTTACCTTGTAGCACTTTATTACACTTAACAGTATACATTATAATTTAGTCTGAAACATAAGTATTTTTTCTGTTACCTGTTTATCCATATTTGCATGCAGAAAACTCAAAACAAACAAGAAAAAACCAAAAATCCTTTTGCTATTAAAAAAACGTTTTTCCCAACAAGGTTAATGTTTTTTCTGTATGCATACAAACACATCAAAAATGAAAACAGAAAAGCCGTGCTCTTTGTTATTGTGCTTGTCTCCGCCTCCCTGATCCGCCCCAACAAAGGGCTACTTGGACCTCCTTTCATTCGTTCTCTTCCAGGCGCTGTACTCAAAATTCGGAAGAAGAACTGAAGCTAACAAAATGTGAACGCCTGCCGATAAGTCTTCCTATGAATCGCAAATTCCGCGCGACCTCCTAGTGTCTCGTTGCCCGAGGTAGACAAAATCACTCGTGGGAGTCGTAAACGTTTATTGGCGAATCGTGGTACTAGATAGTACCGAAACGTGCCAAGGTGACGCTAAACAATGCAAGCAATAAATGCATTAGCAAAGTGAAAGCGTGTCACACGTGTAGCGTGGGTTTGAACAGGACCCAGCTTATATATACACCTGAGCGGAAAACCGTGCTCGGTAAAACAAACAGAAGTAAAACAAAGAAATATCACAGTTGGAGTCAGAGTTGATTGTGAAGAAAATATGAACGGAAAACGTCCTCGTGGATTGCTCCTTTCCTTCGTACAATCATGGTCACTACAATCCTCTTGATTACTTCATCAAGGAAGCAAAGAGGGTTTGACAGGAATGACTTCCTCCTTATGAACCAGTGTTAATCCGTACCCAATGGTCCAACGGACACCACGTTTTCCGCGACCCTGACACGCAGTACTCTTTCCAGTACTACGGATGGCAGGCTGAAAGAGCGATATTTAGAGCACGCCTTGCATTTTCCCCCCTTGTGGATACAGATGACTGCCGCCAGTCCATGGGTAGCTGCCTCTGTGTGATGAACGCATTGAATATTCAAGTAAGGGGCTCAGCTAAGTATTCACCCAGTTGTTTCAGGATAACCACGTGAATGCCATCTGGCCATATTGTCTTCGTTAAAATGCGCTCCCTTAAGGCCCGATGCACTTCATCTGTGGAGATCATCAACTCCGACATGAGATTTCTCTCATGGTATCCCATTGTGGGCTCTGGTCTGCAATCGTTTTGTCTGTAAACTCCATGGAAGTATTCAGGATGAAATTAGGCTTCACCTGGTTGGAGCAAGTTAGATTTCTCCCCTCATCAACAAATGTGCTTACATCCCTTCTAAGGGCTCTCTTTCATCTCCATGTGTAGAAGGCAGAGGGGCTGCGCAATATAACCCTCATCACCGCCGGTAACGATCACAACTCGCTCAGTAGTCTGCCAGTTTCCACCGTCTCACCAAGTGCTCGCCGAGACGTCCTTGGAATCGGGAGAGGCGATAGACAAAAGAAAGCCTTCGGAGGATTAGCCTATGGCCGCGCGTCCAGTTGCAGTCTTGCAGTGGAAACACAGCACGTAGTTCCGGTTCCAGTTTGCTACAAAGAATCTTCCACGGATAGATAAAATCCCCGTGAAAGCTCCTGTAGTTCACCGGATAGAGTTCAAGTGCCTTGAGCCAACCTTCATCTTATTCTTGACCATTTGCTAGTGCATGTCATTGGAACGAGGTCAGTATTCTCGGGGTTGAAAAGGTAACAACACCAGGTACCGATGTCATGTTGAACTACCTCCACCCCCACTCCCATTATGTCGATCGGCATCTGAAATTTTCACAACAAAACAAACGAGCCCGGTTATTTTCGTTAGAGTTCAGTGGTATATTGCGAACTATTGATCACTGAAATTATGCGAAAATGTGAACCGTGCGAATATATAAGTAGCATCGCTCGATAAGACAGTG